AAGAGGATATCAAGAACCACTGTCTTCAGATGTTGAAAGCTGTTATGTAAGTCCCTCCGAAGACCTGAACTTTGGTCAAGTCCTTTATCTTTGGGGGGGATGCATATTATGTTGCTGAAAAGGCGCAGGTTTGAAGTCAACTGAACTCGATGTTGAAGTCTAGCTGCGTGATGTTGGGCAACTTAAATAAGCTCTCTGAGCGTGGCTTTTCATGTGCAAAATGACCACATGGGTGTGAGTACTAAGTGAGGAGGCATAAAGCCCCCAGTCAGGCTCAGGAGGGATTAGGCCCTTACCTGTCCCCATCTGGTGAGGAAGCTCTTTCTTCATAACACCTCCCAGAACACCTCCCCCATTCCAGCTTCCTGTGAGACCCACCTAAAATGTCACTCACCAAAATAATAGGAGGAAAAGATGTTTAGAGAGAGGAGAGGACGGCTTTGGGGAGAGTGATTCATCTCCTTGCCTTGACTACCTCGGCATGAAAGCATCTCTTCCCTCAAAGTGTGTCAGCGTAGAGCCCGTCTTGCAAAGGAAGCTTTAATGAGGGCTTGGAGGGAAAACGGCTGGAAAAAGCAGAGACTGAAATGTGGTGGGGCAGGAAAAGACGGGCTGGGAAGCCATACTGAAACCTGGGAAGGTGGATGATAAGGGGCTGAACAGCGTCCCTCCCCAGTCCGACGTCGAAGCCCTAACCCCTAACCCGCGGCACCTCAGCATGTGGCCCTGTTTGGAGACAGGGCCTTTGGAGAGGGGAGGAAGTTAAAGCGAAGCCGTAGGGTGGCCTCACCCAAGCTGGCTGATCTCCCTTACAAGAAGAGGAAATCTGGATTCGGAGACACTGGGGCATGCACACATACATGGCACAGGGGATAGGCCGCGACCACGTGCAGACGCGGGCTAGAGGCGGCGGTCTGCAAGCCGGGGACAGATCGCCCTGTGAGTGAGTTCCAGGGGCCCTTCATTTTAACCAGATTCCTTCCCAGTCAGGCCACACGGATGTGTAGTTGTGCCCAGGAGACCTGCGACGCGGCTGTCAGTGAGGACTGGGGGTGGGGTGGGGGCTTGAAGGTGGGAGTTGGAGTAGAGAGAGATGGATTACAAATGTGAATCTCTGGAGATGTGTTGGTGGGGAAAGAAAGTGTATGCCTCAGCTGGGACTTGTTTCTGTCCCGTGCAGGCAGACTGGGCAAGGGGCTGGTCTAGGCTTACCTAGCCCCGTCCAGATTCCTCCCGGAGCCCTCCCATATGTCCAGCCTCGGCTTTTACTCCAGGAGAGCACATGCCCCTTTTTCATTTCCTTGCTGCTCCCAGATCATCCTTTTAAGGTGGTTTGAGCTCTACCCGTGCAAGACCGTGTCCCTGGGCGCGGCAGCTCTCGGTGTGGCTAGGGAATGGACAGATCCTTGCAGGCCACGCCTTCTCGCCCAGCTGGCTGGTTGGGACATGGCCGCTGCCTTACGGAATTATGGTTGCCGAGCTCTGCCGAGCAGGCTCGTTCAGGCCAATCCCACACTTCCAGACCTCCATGTTATAAAACCACATGCTCAGTTGGCTCAGATTGGTGCTTGTATTTAATGCTTTTCACATGAATGCCAAACACAGAGGAGGGCTGTTTAGAAACAGTTCCTAAAATTGGTAATTGCATTGCCAAAACGTAGCTGGTTCGGCCTGCGTAGCTTAGGAAGTTTAGGCAAATCCCGTGGCAGAACTGGCACTGGTGAGAGCTCAGTGGCGGTCCCCGGGGACAGCTGTGGAGGTAAGTAGACACTGCACTTCCTGTCAGGCTCAGGGCAGGCTCGCAGCTGCCCAGGAAGGCCAGAGTCTCCCATCAAGGCTCGCTCCCCAGACACAGTTGTTTTGAACTCTGTCCACTCGCCTCAGTGCTCCAACCATCTGACCTCATGGGGGACACAGCAGGCCTCAGGTAGGAACTTTCTTACCTCCCTGTCACAGAAGTAAGTGCGGACCTGCTTACGCATCCTTGGCCTGCCCTCACCTTTCCACAAGGGAAGAGCTGCCCTTTCTATCCCAGCCAGTGCCCGGGGTGTTAATGCCACCTGCTCACAGCGGGAGGCCTCCTAGAATGTCACCTCTTGTCCCTTCTTGCTCCCATTTTTGACCCCCCCCCACTTTTTTTTAAAGAATCATTTTATTTAACTTTATTCATTTTATTATTATTATTATTTTAATTTGACCAGAGAGGGCCACAGAGAGAGAGAACAAGGGAGAAAACAAGCCACCAGGTCTGGGACTTGAATCATGGTTGGCCATGTGGGAGCCCAGCCCCCATAGCCACCATGCCACCTGCTGGCCTGACCCCCCCACACACACACTTTTTAAAAGCACACCTGGAGCACACCTGGCTGATCACGCCCACACTGGATTCCTCAGCCCCTCTCTACTCCACTCTGACATTTTCTTCCAGGCCAAGCTACTCGACAAAGCCATTCATCCTGCTCCCACCCTCCAAGCTCCAGACCCCCCGCCCCGACCCCTTATGGAGTCCCATGTCTGCAGATAGTCTAATTCTCATCTTATTTGACCTTTTTTTTTTTTTTTTTTGAAGAGGTTTTTACTATAGGGCATGTGTGCTCACCAGAAAGAGAGACAGAGAGACAGAAAGCGAGAAATCACCCCCCAGGGGGGATGGCCATGCCTCAATCCCTTCTCCTCTGTTCTCCTCTCGGGATCTTGGGCACACACGCACACGCGCCCGGCGTGAGTTTAAGCCACCGGGTCCAGGACTCAAACCATGGTCGGTTACATGGGACTCCAGCAACATAGCCACTACACCAACTGCTAGTCCCAACCTTTCTTTCTTTTTTAAAGCTTCTTTCTTCCAGGAGTATGACAGATGGACAGGAAGACAGACTCAACTCTCCCAACAGGGTCCTGATGCCATGATCCGCCCCCAGCCCCAGGCCGCCCTGGCTATGGGCATGCATGTACCCAGCAGGCCCAGGAGGTCTCCGACATGAATCTGTCCTCCTCACAGAGCTCTGCGTTACACCCCGTGTCACTGCCCAGCCCCCTTCCTGGACCCATGGAAACTCTCGGAGTCCTTCCTTCTGGAAACACTGTCTTCCCTTGGCTTCTGTGATGCCTGTTTTCCTCTGTCCTCATCGTCCCACCAGCCAGTTCCCAGGACAGCTGCTGGTTGGTGCTCCTGCCTCTCCCGCATGGGGCTCCCCACTGCCACCACACTGTCTGTGGAGTCACAGCGTCGGTGACTTCCAATGCCACGTCTACCTAGCCCTCTCCCCTGGGCCTCAGCAGTACCCTGCATCCTAATCAATTCTAGGTATTATAAAGTACCCACAGGCATATCTAGATGCAAGTTTAATGGATTATGAAATGATATTTTATCATCTTAATTTGCATTTCTAGTGCAAATTAGTCCTTAACTGAAACATTTTCCTGTTAGCCACGGGCGTTTTCTGTTTCTTACTTACCTATCATTCTTTGCACCGTTTTCTACAAGGGTGTTTCTCTTTTTTGTATCTACTTATAAAATCCTTTTTGTGATAAGTGCATGGACCTTGTTTTCATCATCTTTGCAAATGACGAGTCCTTTCAAATGACCACAAGTTCCAGGGGAGTTTAAAGGGCGAACATATGAAATGGGATACTACAGCTAACGTGTGCGTTATTAATGTGGGCAGCCGGCTTCTCTCGTATTGGAAAATGTAAGCACTCAAACTGCAGGCCCAGGAGTGTGTGCGTGGAAGAGTCTGGACTCTGAAGTTGGGCAGACCTGATTTAGAGCTCAGCCCCCTCGCTCTCTAGCTGGGAGACCTGGACTAATGACGTAACCTCTGCAAAGCTCAGAATTCTCTCAGGGTAACAGAAATCCTTCTGGCTTTTTTTTTTTTTTTTAGGTTTTGGTTTTTTAAATTTACTATAGCGCGCATGTACTTACCAGATGGAGAGAGTAAAAGTGAGAAAGCAGCCCCCAGGGAGATGATCATGTCCCAATCTCTTCTCCATTCTCTTCTTGGGATTTTGGGCACACACATACACGTGCTTGGCCTGTTTTACAAGCTGCCGGACCCAGGACTCAAACCATGCGATTGGCCATGTAGGGTCCAGACATGTTAACCACCATGCCACTAGCCAGTCTTCTAGTTTGTTTTGAGAGCTGAATAGCTTAGAGATGGAAGTGCAGAAGGATTCTCCATATACCTCAAAAACGGGCTGTTTCGTTCTTACTTACACAGAGATCTGTTTTGTTTCAGTAAGGAGTGGTACACGGTTCACTGAGTTAGTGGCCAGATATGCGGTCATTCATTAATATTTTCTGAATAAATAAATATGAGGAGGCTTTAAAAAGTTCATGGAAAATGGAACTCAAGTATTTTATTTTGGTATAAAAAAATTTCTGAAATCTGGGACCAGCAGGTGGAATGGTGGTTAAGGCACTGGACTCTCACAGGGATGACCACAGTTCAAGTCCTGCACCTAGGAACTTGAAAATCACACCAGGTGCACATGCGTGCATGCCCAAAATCTCAAGAGATTATAGGAGAAGGTATTGTAGCATGGCCATCACCCCCCTAAGGGGTGATTTCTCACTTTCTCTCCCACTGTCTCCCTCTCTGTCTCTCTCTCTAGCAAGAACACGCACGCTCTGATAAAAACCTTTTTTAAAAATTCTAATATACATGCAGAATATTTTTTGTAATATGCATTTTCCATGAGCCTTTTAAAGACTTTCTGTATGATAAAAATACAAATGAGACTGGAAGAATTCTTAGCTGTGATTTCTCTGAGTCTAGGGGAGATTTTAACTTGCAAGCTCGGGGATAGTATTAGTAAATTGGAGTCTGTTCTACGTAGTGTAGAAGGTGTAAAATTTAACATTCTGGGAAAAAAAGGGAACAGACGGCTTCATGTAGTCAAAATTCTTGTGACTTTAAATTACTTCAGATAACATCTCAAAATACTTGTATTCTTTATTGAGAATTTACATCTCAATCTGTTCTATTTTTCCCTTTTAGGTGTGGCTGGACCTCTTAAAACCTATTGTGAAACAGATTAGAAGTAAGTATACACCACTCGCTCGCCATGGTGTTAAATATAAAGCCAGACATGGGCACAGTTTAGGCGTCATCGCTAGTGACACGGTTTCTTTTTTTACCCCCAGACTGCCTTCCATCATCCCAGTAACCCACATCCTATCAAAATGCGTGCCTTCTGCACTTTTAATACAGAAAAATTCAGTAACCAAACCTTACTTGGAAAATCAAATACTGTGTTGATTAACAATTATATCGAGCTATTAACCCTCAGAATAGTTGAACTTGTTTCGTCTGCGTTGCTGTTCTTACTGTCATTGAAAGGGGAAAGATAGAACCATTTTTATTTATATAATTTTATGTATTTTTTTATATTTTTATATTTTTTTATATTTATATAATTTTTATTTATAAAATTCATTTTAGGTTTTCTATCCCTCTTCAAAGCCTATGAAGTCAGAATGCAAGTTCCATTTGGGAAAAAATGGTGCCCAACATTGTGTGTGTGTGTGTGTGTGTTTCTGAGTGGCAAGCAGAAGTCTGAAGGAGAGCTGTCGTACATTTAGACTGGAATTGGAAAGAAAAGATTAAGGAGGGCCTGGGAGAGGAA